GTTTGCACAATCATTCACACCTCTTTTTATCATAATTTTATTACATTATGATTTCTAAATGTATTGAAATTTCCACCTCTAAATTTATCTATTTCTTTGTGTGCTAGAACATAATGAATTTTGGTGAATGGTTCATGCATATAGCCCATGTATGTTTGTTTACATGTGTGTGAGTCATAATGCAATAAAAGTATAATTATGTATATGGAAAGCTAAGTGGCAAATGGAATGAGGAAGATCTGAGCTCAAAATTCAACCTAACATACTTACTGTCTCTGTGATCTTAAGCATGTCACTTAACCTATCTGCTTCTGTTTCCTCATTATAAAATCAGTATCATAATAGAAACCTACCTTCCAGGACTGTTGTAAAGATAAAATGACATAGAATTTGTAAAGCACTTGGCAAACCTTGAAGCACTATAGTTGAGGGGGGAGGGACCAGAGGAGTAAATTCCCTACCTTATCCATTTATTTCCCTGTATATAAGCTATCAAATAATAATTCAATCACCATGCTATTCAAGTACACAACTTATTTATATTTTTGCCCGAGTTACAGCATTTCATTATTGGGATATTGAAATTTAATTATTATGGATTGATCTAATTATTTTTCCAACTCTTAAGCTTTACTTTATAAAATTTAGTTGTTATGCCATTGTAGAAGCTAAGAAATTAGGACCAGAAGTTGAAGCCAATTTCCATTAAAGTTTGTGCTAGTAAAGGGGGAGGCAAAGATGATTAAACAGAAACCAAAAGATGTTTCCCAAACTAAAGACACAAATTTTTAACTCTTAAACTCTCACATATAAGTACAGGGTACTTGAATTTATATCCTATGTCCTGTTTTCATAACCTACAAAAATTGTCTTTGATTTGGCTTCACTGAGATAAATGATTCTATGCTGATCTGTAACATTTTACATGTAGAAGTAAAACCAGAAATACCTATTAAAATTATTTGAGGATGGATTAATGCTACTTGATCAAGTCTATTATTCAGAGTTCTGAGAAATGTATAAAGACCCTTTGATCCAGCAATACCACTTCTAGGTTCGTATCCCAAACAAAAACATGAAAAAGTACCCACATGTACAAAAATATTTATAGCAGCTCTTTCTGTGGTGGCAAAGAATTGGTAATTAAGGGGATGCCCATCAAGTGGGGAATGGCTAAACAAGTTGTAGTATATGAATGTAATGGAATACTACTGTGCTATAAGAAACGATAAGCAGGCAGTCTTCAAAAAAACTTGGAACAACTTACATGAACTGATGCAGAGTGAAATGAGCAGAACCAGGAGAACACTGTACACAGTAAGTCACATTATGGGATGACTGACTTTGATAGACTTGGCTCTTCACAGCAATGCAAGAATCTAAGACAATTCCAAAAGACTCATAATGGAAATTGCTATCACACCCAGAGAAAGAAACATGGAGTCTGAACGCAGATGAAAGCATACTATTTGCTCTCCCTCTCCTTTGTTGTTTTGTTTTATTGCTTCATTCTTGTGGTTCCTCCCATTAGTTTTAATTATTTTTTACATCATGACTAATGGGATAATATGCTTAACATGAATGTATATGTACAGCCTATATTAGATTGTATGCCATCTTGGGGGGGGAGGGAAAAGAGGTGGAAGGGGGAGAAAATTTAAAACTCAAAATCTTATGGAAGTAAATGTTGAAAACTGAAAGTAAATAAATTAAAAAACAGTTAAAAAAAAAAGAAAGGTATAAAGATACCATGCCAATCTGATAATTCTCCTTAAAATTACATGAAATCTAGTAAAATGTGACCCAAATGGATCTGATTCATAACACAGACAGAATTTTTACACTGACATCATTAAATGAAAGATGTTTAATATTGATAATCTCTCACTGTTAATAGGTCATTGAAACACAGACCACACCCCACATTGGAATCTGTGAACTCCAGGTTAAGAACCCCTGCTCTCAACAAAGTTTTTATATTTTACATACTAAATTTTGAATTTTTTTAAACAAAAAACAAAACAAAACTGCCCTCATTTTTCCCTGAGTTTTACTTATTGCTCCCTTTGAACCTCTATCATCAGTCAGTCAGTAAAACAAGCTTTTATTAAACACTTAGTATATAGCAAATAAATACATTCTCTGCCCTCAAAGAGGTTACATTCAAATGGGGGAGACAATATGGAAAAAAATGTCCATATAACATATATAGACGAGAAAGGGAACAAGCATTTATTAAGCATCTGATTTGTGCCAGGCACTATAACACAAATATCATTTCATTTGTTCCTTACAACCACCCTATCAAGCATTACTATAGAGGTATCTATTTGCATGAGTGTACACACACACAGAGCAAATTCAAAGAAGGGAAGGTATCAGCAGCTGGCAAGACTTCTTGCAGGAGGTGGGATTTGAGTTGTATCTTGAAGGAAGCCAGGAAGCGGAGGTGAAGATAAAGGGCATCCCAGGCACAGGGGACTGCCAATGAAAAAGCAGAGACAAGAGACAGAAAATCACTTTGGCAGCTAAGAGGAGGACAGACAGGACTAAGGAGAGTCTTGATGCAGGGAGACCAATTAAAAGTCTATTATAATATTCTAAGTATAACCTGATGAAAGCCTGCACCAGGATGATAGCTATGTGAGTAGAAAGACAGGAAGATATGAGAGAGATCATAAAGGAAGAAATGACAAGATTTGTCAACAATTGGCTATATGGAATATATCAGAGTGAGAAATTGAGGATGACACTGACATTACAAGCCCTTAATTAGGAGGATGATAATGTCTTCAACAGTGAGAGGGATTCTGTTCTAAACAGGGGAGGATATTAGGGGAAAGATAATGAATTTATTAAATTTAAGATGTTTATAGGTTTTCCAATTTGGGATGTCCAGGAAGAAGTTGGTGACTCAAGCCTAGAACTCTATCCCAGATAAGATCACCAAACAAGAAAGTATAGAAGAAGAGAAGAGGTTCCAGGACACAGCCTTGGTGAAATATCATTATTGTGTTTTTTTCTTTCTCATTTTCTTTATCAGTGATGCCCCAATTCAATTTATTCTTCCATAGTCCTTCAAGTCTTTCATTCAGCATTTAACCAAAATAATATTCCTGTTATTTTTAATGCCACAATAGTAATTGTGTTGAGAAAATTACATTTTAGAGACAGTTGTAAATATCTTAATCATTCTGTCTGATCTGAAGGCTCTGTGTTCTTGTTGCTTTTGCATATCAAAAGCTTCTTTAATATTGGCTTTCCCTGAATAAATTTCTCAATTTCATGCAGTTTTTTTAAATGATTTTTTTCTCTCCGAAAAGAATGCTTAAACAATGCAAAGATGATGATCTGGAGATAAGTCCTTTATTCCCTAATTTTTATGTCATATTCTGGCATCAGTTGTCATTTCTTTTTTTTGCAGGAATCTTGTACAATTTAAATGAATATTTTTAATCTAATTATTTTCTTGGCTACTTGCAAAATCACCTGCTTGCCACTGTACTTATGAAGCTTGGCAAAAGATGTTTGAGGAATTGTTAGAGTCTACCAATTATTAATGATAATGACAATGATGTCCAAGACGATACCTCATATTTACATAGTATTTTGAAGTTTATAAAGCTCTTTAGAAACCTTTTTACATACATTTAAAGGCCTTCATGATCTGCTTCCAATTTACCTTTCTAGCCTTATTATACATCCACGAGTATTGAGAGGGTGCTTAATAAAAATGCTTGTTGATTCAACGATCTCATTTAAGCCTCACAACAACTTTGAGAGATAAAGATACCATATTTCTTATTTTCAGGCTTTCTGGGAAAATTTTTTTGTATGGCTTACTGAAATGTAATGGTTTTGAGTTTTAAGGGAAACTAATAATTTTGAAATTTTTTCCTCCCCTTGCTCAGTCTGTCCCATTTATCACTACTGTACACACTGATTACTTTTTTTGGCTGAGGGGTAGTGGGGAGGTGGAGTTTTTCAGCTTATGTTGTTTGCTATATTCTGTGTTCAAGTTGTCTCCATCAAATATATTTTGTTTACACTTTCCACAGATTTCTGAATGGTTGTATTTCACTATCATCTTGTCCTCAAATTCTTTAAGTCACAATCAGTTCCTTCTTTAATTTTTCACATAATATTTCTGTTACAGAATCACAGAATTTGACAGGTGGAAGGGATTCTCAGTGGCCATCCAGTCTAACCCATACAAGAAGGAATTCCCATTACAACATATCCAACAAGTTGTCATCCAGCATCTGTGTAAATACCTCTAAGGAGAGAGAATCTTCCACCTATGAGGGAAAGACTTTCCACTTTTGAACAACTCCAATTATAGTACACAGATTTTCCCTTGACATCAAGCCTAAATTGGTCTCTTGGCAATTTCTGTACATCATTGTTGGTCCTACCTTCTAAGGCCAAACAGAATAACTCCTCCTCCACATTAAAGCCTTTCAAATACTTGCACAAATATAAGCAAAACAAACCCATTTTCTTCAACTAATGTCAATTTCTTGACTTCCTTTAATTCACTGAATTGTGTTTCCTGAATTCTGGTTTGAAAAAATTATAGCTTTTTTCTGATGTTAACATTGGTATCATCTCCATTCATTATGAGAGGTGTTTTTGTACCTCAGCTTCTTTTAGGACAGAACATCTTTTCACTGTGTTGAATCTATTCTTTTGTTTCTTCATGATTATTTTTTAAAATTTCTTTTGAGAATTTCTGATAGCGTTTGCTTCTTTTTTATATCTTTATTGCTGTTTTTGAGGGAGAACAATGAAAAGATGGATTCTTAGGAATATCTCACTGCTTTATCTTCTCAGAGCCATGGGCACTGTCAATATATTTTCTAATTCTTTCAAACTCTGGTCCTAGAAGCCTTTGTTAACTCACATGCTTGACTTAACTTATAATTACAGTAGAAGCTGAGAAATTCAATAGCACATTTCTACCACCAAAAAAATATGCCAAAAATAAAAATCATACTCACCTCCCCACTAAGTGAACCTTTTTCTTTCTGTTGACACCGTCTGATTACCTCTAATAGTAATGGTCCACCAACAGTGCCTTCTGCTTCAATAATTCCTAAATCTCGGGCTAAATTCTCTCGAGCTTCAAGCCCATGAACCTGGGGGAAAAAAAGATTAAAATGCACTAAAATGTAGTAAAAATAATACTTGCATCATAAAGGAAAAAGAAACAAAAAAGAAGAGTTTGGCTTAACAATAAAATGAAATTCTCTTTCTGGTATATAATTTTGTATGTACTTAAAATGTTATGCATATTGTTTAAAAAATTGTACAAAGTTTAAATCATCGAGTAAGATTAAAACTAAATAGTAGATAGAACTCATTTGACAGCAACCTATTCAACTGCCAATTATCCATCAGACAACCTAAATTGGAAAGAAAGATAATTCACAACAATTTATCCAGATTAAGACTTTTGACTCGATTTTTCTTGGCAGTTTTCAGAAGGTGTTCTTTTGAAAGTGGCTTTTTCTCTAAATTAGAATACTGACAACTGGGTAACAGAAAGTCTAGTTAACCATTAAGGATTTGCTCCATAAATGTATCATGTATATCTTATGTGATAATTTCAAAACTGTTCTTAAAATCTCTGAGCCTCAATTTTCTTATCTGCTTAAAAAAAAAAGGAATAATACACTACCTTCTTCTCAGAACTGTTCGGAAAAGCATTTTTGTAAACCTTGAAGTAGTATGAGTTTTTATCATGACTCACATATCACAAAGATGCACATACATGGCATGTGCATGTACATACTAAATACAAGGTGTCCCAAAAATCTCCAAGCTATAACTTGAAAAATATCTCAAAACCACATAAAAACTATTGTGATACTCTAAACATTGGTGTGAAGTAGGTAGTGTGATATAGCAGACAGAACTCTGGAATTAGAGTTAAAAAATTATAGGTTCATATTATGGTCCTGACACTTGCTATGTAACTGTGGACAAGTCACTTCAACTGTGGGGCTTCTGTTTTGTATCTACAAAAAGAGAGAACTAGACAAACTTCAAATTCCCTTTCTGTAGTTATGCTACAATTAGTAAGTATTTGTTAAGCACCCAATATGTGCCTGGCACTGGGCTAAGCAGAGGAGACACAAAGGCAAAGCCAGACCTTGCTCTAAAGGAGCTCACAATTTAACAGGGGAGACAACAGGCAGACAACTATCTACTAATAAGCTACATACAGGGTAAACTGGAGATAATCAACAGAGGGAAGGTACAAGAATTAAAGGGCAATCAATAAAAACTTCCTATAGAAACTGGGATTTATAACTTGAAGGAAGTCAAAGCAGTTAGGAAGCAGAGGTAGGAGAATTCGTGAATGGAGGACAGCCAGGGTCATCTCTCTAGAGAAGCTAAAATGGAGAGAACCTGGAAAAAATTTATTCATGTGACATTAAGAATTAAAGAGATAAGGTAAAAGAAGGCCACACATAATATGACAATTACCACAAATATTAGGAAAGATGAGAAAGGCAGGATGCTCTGACCCTAAAAGAGAGATCAATTTCACAAATACATTCCATAAAAATCAATTCCATAAAATACAAAGCACCTACTATGGGCAAAGTACCACAGATAGAAAGATAAAAACGAAAGGGAATTACATTCTCCTGAACTTGAATTAGTAAGCTCTAAAGCAAAAAAAAAAAAAAAAATTCTGATGTAATCACAAATGATTTCAGTAAGAAATGGGGAAGGGGAGGATGGGTGTGCACTGGCCCTGCAATCAAGAGGATCCGAGTTCAAATATGACTTCAGACACATACTAGCTGTGTGACCCTGGGCAAGTCACTTAACTGAGATTGCCCACACACACACACACACACACACACACACACAAAGAAAAAAAACGAGGAAGGTATTTAAAGAATGGTGAACCTACGAGAACTACTCACCGATATTCTTTTGAAAAACTTCATGAAGCTGTGATTTGGTCCAGCCGTTCTAGAAAGCAATTTGGAACTTTGCCTCAAAAGTTACCAAACTGTACATATCCTTTGACCCAACTGTACCATCTAGCCAATATGCCAAAGTGATTTTTTTAAAAAAAGGATCTATCTGTACAAAAATATTTATAGCAGGTCTTTTAATAATAGTCAAAAATTAGAACTAAGTGACTATCCTCTTTTTTAGGAATGGCTAAACAAATTATGATATTTGAATATAATAGAATATTATTGTACCATAAGAAATGACAAAATGGAGTTTAATAGGAAACTGGGAAGATCTCTATGAATGGATATGGAGAGAAGTGAGCAGAAGTAGGAGAATGATTTATACAATAACATTGTCAAGAAAAATAACTTAGAACTCTGATCAACGTAACGGTTAAGCATGAGATCAGACAGGGCAGCTAGGTGATACATTGTATAGACCACTGGCCCTGGAGTCAGGAGGACCCAAGTTCAAATCCAGCCTCAGACACATAACACTCACTAGCTGTTTGACTCTGGGCAAGTCACTTAACCCCAACTGCCTCACAAAAAACAAACAAAAAAAAAAAAGCCATGAGACCAGAAGACTGAAGATGAATCACACTTCTAACTTCCTACCAGAGAGATGATCAACTTAAAATGCAGAGAGAGACGCAGGTCAATGTGTGAATTTGTTTTCCTAGACTATGCATTTTTAGGATGAAGGGTCTGTTGTTTTTTTTTTTTTGTTTGTTTTTTAATGAGGTTGGGAGGAAGTAAAAGGGAGAAGCAAGGAAGAAGAGATGGAGGGGCATATTAAAAATGTATATAAAAATAAATTTATTTTTAAAATAATACATGAAGAACTTGGCAGTAAGCACAGGTGACAAATATAAAAGAATTGCAGGGTTCTATAATAACTGTATCAGGAATATTGAAGCCCAAGAACAAGGCTCAGCTTGGAGAAATTCCCAGTGACACCACCAACAGAAAAGCAAACTAGTTAGCTGGAAAAAACAGAACCATTCAACACCTATTTTGCTTCTCTTCTTTCTACAGAAGACAATGATATTCAGATAATGAAATTTATCATTTTTGACAAAAAGTCTAGTTTAACAAAAGCAATGTATCATGTAATCTAGCTTTGCCAATTACTAGTTAAACAATCTGGAAGAAAGCATTTAGTCTCTCAAGCTCAGTTTCCTCATTTACATTATCACCTACTCTAAACTGCATGGTACTGAGAAAAAAGAAATTAGATCAGCTCATGTATGTCAAAGTGATTTGTAAATAATGCAAATATATAATATCACTACTTAAAAAGACTTAAATCACCTTTCAGATTCTTGTACTACAGCTTAGTTAATAACAAAAATTTCACTTAGATTTAAAATGATGTTACCAAAAAAGTCCCTAATGGTATAGCTTGGCACATTTTACATAAATGTAAATACTAATGAATTGCTTATAATTTTTTTTAAATGTCCTTTCAGTATACATGGTAAAAAACCAAAATAAGTCCCTTAACCTAACCAAGCCTATGGGTTTTGAGGTAATTAAAGGGATTAGGACAGCAAATGGTTAACTGTGGGGATTGACTGAAGCACACTGACTCCATCTGGTGACTCAATTCTGGAGCTAGCTTAGTTTCTATTCAATTATTCTAGTCCAATTTCTGTCCTATGAGAAAACTTTATTCAATTGTGAGAATTGGGAGAAAACTTTATAGTACTGTTTGAACCCAGCCCTGCATGGCTGGGAAGCTGGACCACCTCTCCCTGATACTTTAGAGACCTTGAACTAAGGACCTAGGTTATAATGACCAAAAACCCAGTCAGACCCTAAGACTGATGCAAGGGGTTTTCTTATAATCATACATCAATCTATATGTCTTATCCGAAAACTGGTCCTCATACCGATCAATTATTGTTTCCATGTTTCTTTGTTCATAGATACTTGGCAGGGGTAGGACACCTCTTCTGAATTCAGGGAATTGTATTTATAACTCTCCCTCTTCTAACCTGGAAAGTCCCTAATCTTTCCTCCAATTAGAAATCAGATTACCTACAGTTGTATTGTTTCCTTTTAATTAACTGTCCTTATTTGATAAATTGTTTTCAATATATAAAGGTCTGCTCCCCCTGTATTCAAGATCCAGCTCTAAGTTGAGGAAGGTGTTTGGTCCCAATTTGTCAGGCAATTGGCATGTATTGCTAATAAATCCATATGCTTGGAATATTGAACCTCTGTTTCCTCAGCCATTTTATCTTTTATATGCCACAGTTTACAGGCAACTCTTGATATTTCAGCAGTTAGTATTAAGTTTGTAGATGATTAATTTTGCTTTTATAATAGCAACTTTCCAATTATTTCAGTTTATTCATAACACCCACTGTTTTTTGTTTTTTATTCCAAATCTGTTTTGCCATTGGTATGGGCAACTCCCAATATAAAAATATCCTTCATCAATGCAAATCAGCAACTTATCTATAAACTTAATCTCACTTAGGCACTGAAATGTTAAGTGAGCCCTCCTGTCAATCAGTTGGTATGTGACAGAGACCAGATGTGAATCTAGTTCTTCCCAAGTATAAGGCTAGCTCTAAATATCCACCATGCCACAATGCCTCTCTGAGGAAATGAAAGAAATGATGCATAAAAGCACACTAAGGCTACATAAAAACAGTTTCTTATACGCTACTCATTGATGAGGCCTATCTTATAATAGTATCTCACCAGAAAGATTTTTTTTTTTGCTAGCCTAGTAAATAAATCCCTAGGTATGCGCAAGTTGGCTCAAGAACCACCTTATATCAAATAACATTTTATAATCAAGTGTTATAACATGATTTGGCATCAATATAGTATATAACACAGGAACCATGAAGCCATCCTGTAAGAAGAATGGTATGAATTGGAAGTGAATTTTAAGAGCATATAGTATTCTTAACCTGGAGTCCACAGATCCCTAATTTCAAAGGATCTGTGAAACTAGATGGGAAAAAAATTATAACTTTATCTTCACTAACCTCTGAAACTCAGCATTTCCTTCAATTATGAATGTAGACAGCAAACATTATTCTAAGAAAGGATCCATAGGCTTTCCAGACTGTCAAAAGGATCCATGACCCCAGAAAAGTTAAGAACTCCCAAGCTAGATGAAGATGAATCCTTTCATTTTACAAATGAAGAATTAAAAGCCTAATGAGGTAAGATAACTAACTCAAAGTCACATGCAGTGGCACCATCTCATAGCAAATCTAATAAATGTTAACTAGTCTTGATTTTTAATTTATGGAGACATAGCTAATTTGGAAAGGGTTCAAGGAAATGAAGACAAAGGTTAAAATAAAATAAATTAAAAACTAAAGGAACCAATTAAAGAGCTGATATTGTTAACTGAAACAGGAGTATATAAAAATGATAAAAACAGAATATAACAATTTACTGAGTGAATCTTTTTGAAGATGGTCACTTCAAAGTCTCTTTCAGTCCTATGGTTTTACTATTAACAAATTAATCTATTGCCAAATAGCCAGAAATTCTATAACATGGATGGCTAACTCTTCTAAAATCCTCTTCTGACTAATAACCCATCAATGGCAGGACCTGGATTCTTGAAGGCAATGCCAACAGAACACAAGCTCTGATATATCTTATCGAGGTGAAAAGGTTTCAAATAAAGATCCAGGAACAGCCTATACTAATAAGACTAGTCTAGAGAAGTTTAAATCACCAAAATTTTAACCATCAGATGATAATTTTTTCCTAAGAGAATCATAAAGACCTAAGTCCACTAAGGCATACAGAAGGTGCCATCTCCCTTCAGCAGACTGACAACCCACACCAGTGAAACAGAAGATCTTTCAAGTTAAGAGTACTGAGGACAATGAGGAGAAAAAAAATCAACCAAATGACAATTAGGAAAATAGTGAAATATATTTTCCTATTTTTATTATTCTCCTTAAAAACAAACAAGAAACCTTTCAATTGCTCCAATCTAGTCCAAAATCTGAAAGCCACCAGGGAGTAAATTTCTTTCAGTAATTTAGGTCATATGCTACCATTAACTGGTCTTTGTAATTATACTTATTTTAGTTTCTACAGGTCCTACTTTAAACATACCAAAACCTACTGTTTAATATGCTAAGTTTTTGTAACTGAACGTAATGTCTCAACTCTTAGTACTTGCTGAAATTAGGCTGGAAATAGACCTGTGGATATCTATCCTGCTCTACAATCAGTGTATTTGTGGCAGGAGAACTAGCCCCAATAAAAACACAATCGAGAGAAAACACAAAAGCAAAGCAAGAAAAATGCAACTTCCTTTTCTGCCCCTGGTTGTTACGTAAAAGTCAACAGCTACAAGTTTTCATGCATTTGGTAACTTCACATGCCTATACACTAGTTTTCTATTAATGATTTCATGATGGCTGACAGCTAATAAAAATGGAATTAAAGGAAATTTTGTGTATGACACACAAAATCAACAAGCCCTCCCTCCTACCTCTAACCAAAACAATAAACAAATACACAAACCAAAAATAACATAAATTTCAGCATCACTTTACATGCTGTTGAAGCACTCAGTGAAAGGTATAGGATCCAAATACAGCTGGCCTGGTCATCCTGATCTTCTGCAAACTCTTCTTTTGATGTTTAACCCAAGGCTTTCCATCCTCCTCTCTGGAAGTCCTTCTCAGGGTTCTCTCTTTCCTGCCACAAGCTACCCCCTCTTCTGTTTGCCTGACCAGGAATTTCAGTGTACTCCAAATTATTTTTCCCTCTCTGGGCATTCCAGCAGGACTCTGAAAAGATACTTTATTACTATATAGAGGCAGTTAGATGGCACAGTAGATAGAGCACTAGCCCTGGAGTCTCAAAGACAAGAGTTCAAATTCAGCCAGATACCTGCTAAGCTGTGTGATCCTGGGAAGTCACTTACTTTGCCTGCCTCGGTTTCCTCAACTGTAAACTGGGGATTCTAATAGCACCAACTCACAGAATTGTTGTGAGGATCAAATTAAACAATAACTGAGCACAGTACCTAGGGGATAGCAAGCACCTAAAAAATGCTTGTCCCCTTCCCTTTTTAATTTTATCCTACCTTTGCTTTTCTTACTTGTGAAAGTTTATTCCCATTTTAAAAAATCACGATCTGGAGGAGCTCAACTAACACTGGAGAATACTCTGGAAAGAAGTTAACAGTTTGTCTTGCTTGAAAGTAAGTCTTTATCTCCAATGCCTCCATTTTGACCCCTACACAAGATCAAGATGCTCTGAAACCTCTGGTGATTGCCTTCCATTCTTCTTCTCAGACTTCTGCCCAAGCCCTTTTTCCCTCTCATTCTACAATCCTCTCCACTTGCCGCCCTTAGCTTACTGTATAGCTTCTAAAAAGATATTTTCTATTCAGTGTCTCCATTTCCTCTCCAATCACTTGCTCAATGCTTTACACTGACTTCCGTCCATACTGTCTATGATGAGTTCCTGTGACTGGTAAGCGCAAACTTACCTACTCCACCAAATCTAGTTAGCCCCATCTGAGACCATGTTTCATATTCCCTGACCATATACCCAGGCATCTTGTCATTTGCTACACTGTTGACTTGGTTCTCCCTCAAAATCTTCAGAAACCATACTGGCATTTGTGTCACTACCACCACCACTTTCTACCTCTTGCTTTATAAACTATTAATTTTATCAGTTATCAACTCAATACTACTACTACTTCTGGAAAGGATGTTAACTGACTATCCTGTGGATCAACTCACCTTTTCTGTGACTCTCTCTGATAAAATCTCTCCTCCTTGGCTATCACTCCCACACAGGCACTGTCTCTCCCTATTAGAATATAAGGGTAGGGACTGTCTCACTTAGCACAGTGCCAACATAGAGTAAATGCTTAATAAGTGTTTTTTAATTCATTCTTTGCATACTACTCAACTAAAATGTCTTTCATGAAGGACTTCACGACCTCTGCAATCTAGCCCCAAGCTATCTTGCTTGCCTTACGTACCATCTATTAATTGCCTAATATGTGCAAAGTAATGAAGAAATGATCTGTGCTCTCATGAAACTTACATTCTTGGGGAGTTGAGGGACAGAGTAGAGTACATTATGTGCCTTCTCTTTGAGATTGCACTATGGAAATTAGCTTTAAGATTTATTATTCCCTGTGCCAGGCAATTAAATTGTTAAACTAACTACCCTAACTTCTAAGACAAGCTGAATTTTCTTGAAGCTAAAAGTTCTCCTAAGAAATCTATATTTTAATTATGGGATACTCAAATATTCAAAGCCAATATAAAGATTAATGTTTGTGCTTATAATCTGGTGAGATTAAAATACAGTCAAAGATCAAACAGCAGATCCAAAGTCCCCAAATCTTTAAATATGTACAAATGAAGCTCTCATATACAAAAGGAGACCCTCACATAATGACCACAATAAAACAAAATAGCTTCTCTTCACAAAAAAAGTTGAGGGCATCTGGTTTAGGGCATTAGTTTATTTCTTGTAGTCACAATAAGAAGGAATAGGGCCATTTTTTCTTGGCAGTCCACTTTCTTGGCTCCTAGATGATCTGGCCCTACAGAAAACCTTCTTTCTGGCCAGTTGCTGACTTCTGGGAAACTGGGACACAGTCATCTTGGAAACAAGGCCATTCAGATTGCCTCTTCAATTGCATAAATAATTTAAGATGAGGATAAATACACATATAAGCAGGATTTAACTATATTTAGTTAACTTCATATTCTAAGTCACAAAAAAGACACAAGATGAGATGGTCAAGTTCACATTCTTACTGTGCTAGTTTCAGGCTGAAAGACGGCCAAGGTGAAGTCAAGATTGAAAAACTGAAGGAATTCTGCAACAAGACTTGCCACTAAACGACCTGTGAAAATAAGTGGAAAAAGACTTGTTAACTCAAACATTTAGTATTTTGCAAAATTTTTTTCCTATATTTTGTGAAACGGTACCATACTATAGGAGAATAAAGTTTCTAAATTTTTTAAAACAAAGTTTATAGGAAAAATTCTGAAAGTATTTCCCTCTAACATACTTAAAAGTAAAATGGGAAAAACAGAAGATAGTCTCTTCAAGAATGAGTCACTGAGTCACTAAGAAACTACAATTAACTCTGAATTACGTTAAAATGACCAACACAGGATTTTCCATCCTGATGTTGGGGCAACTTTATTTCTCTGGCAAGTTTCCTTGTCCCAGGAAGTTTGGCTAGAGTCAGTCTAGATGATACTGTCTACAATACTTCCATTATCTGACACAATTAGTTGAGGTTTGATTATATAATGGAGTTCTTACTTTAATCTTTAAAGCAAAGAGGAAAAGAAAATAATTTTATGCTACAATATCAGATGAAGTTCTTGATTTCTCTCAAGTTTCATTCTGAAGATTTGGATTAAGCAAACTAAAACCAAAAGTAGATAAAAAGATGCTTACCATCTTTAGTATTTAAAAACTTTTTCAGGCTTTCATTCACTAAAGGTGTTTTGTTCTATTAAAAAAAGAAAGTCATAAAAATTTAAAATTAATATATCAGTTCTGAAAACTTTTCTATTTCAAAACCTGTAAAATTTTACTTCTATGTTACGGTCACAAAGTAGTACACTGCTATTTTTAACATTATACTTTAAACTTTATCAACAGAAGAATTCTATTATTAGCTCTCAAAATTGCATCCTATCCATCAAAAGTCTCTCCCAATCATTAATTTACAGACTTTAACAAAGCTGTGTTTTGTTTTTTAAAGCAAAAATAAATCATAAATTCATTTAAAAAGATTAGGTGTTTGAAAGAAAGGATTTGGGGATGTTTCATGATTTTATTCGAAACTAAATTAGCAAATTTACTTCATTATAAATATAGTCTTTGTACAACCCTATTTTTCAAATACTCTCTCAGAAACTTGAGACTTTTGTGCTAGTTATCCAACCTTAAAGTTCACTATTCTGAGAAGACTTAACAGAAAATAAATTTGTTTTAGCTTTAACAATTTATATCATTTAAAGCAGCACACAACCTGGGGTCTGTGAACTTTGAAAAAATATTTTGATAGGTGTATCTCAATAAAACTGTTTTCCTTTGTAATTCTATGTATTTTATTTTGTGCATTAAAAAATTATTCTAAGAAGGGATCCAAAGGGGTTCACAGGCTTCACCAGACTACCAAAGGGTTTCATGACAGAAAAAAAGGTTATGACCCCATGATTTAAAGCAATATATTTTTTAAATAGTCACTGGTCCTAAAGAATATAACCAATACCGAATGACTGCCATGAAGGTAGCAGAAGGGGAAAAAACACACATTACCATATATTTTCTGTAGAAGTAACTTTTGCTTTAGGAATAGATTTGGAATCCATTTCTTAAAAAAAACTGATTCTAGGCAATATCATTATTCATATTTGATAGAAAAGTTCAAGAAATACTACTGTGACCATATGGCTTTACTTAAACTACCAACAGGCCATTAATTAAATTGCCTACTATGTGGCAAAACTATGTTAGGTGGAGGTAAGGAGTAACTACATTCCAGAAGGGGAAATAGCTTGTGCAAAGGCATAGGGACATCAGGGCTCGGACATCAGGGCTCAGACATCATGCTATTGTGAGGCTACTACTTTCAGATTCTCTATACAGAGATCAACTTACACTGAAATCAAATATAAGATTAAATGCAAATCTTTACTTCTCATTTTTCCCTGTTTGCTGCTGGCACTGCAATAAGTGCATACTGAGAGCTAGGTGCTGTCATCCTCATTTTACAGTGTCTTTGATCTGAAGAATTTGAATTCAGATCTTTCTGACTCTAGAACCAGTGTTATCTAACCTAAATGCTTCCACCTTGTTGACTACAAAGTACTGAAAGATCCCTCAAAAGGAATGTTAGTTTTTTTCCCCTATAATATATATTTACTGATTTAAGTCTTCAAAAACCACTTTGGCTACACCCCAGGATAAACAAGAGAAAAAATTAAAAAAAACAAAAAACAAAAAACAAAAACAAAACACATGACTTTTCCCTAAACAATCTGAGTTGAATATTAAAAAGGTACAATAAAGATTAAATAATTCTATTTGCATACCTCTATTTTTTCTTGTTCTTCAAGTGCTAAAAATACAGCTGCCCGTAGTTCAGCCTGGAATATTTAAAAAAAGGGAAGGGAGCATTCAAAAAATTTTTTTACTAACAATTTAAGATGTTGACATACTGGTCAATCAGAATTTTTAAAAAATACCAGGTAGATACCTATGCTATAGGTACTACTTTACTGAGCACTGTCCTCCCAAAATTTGAAAGCATGAATATTCGTTCAAGGGGAAAGTGCAAATAACAAGATATAAAATTGTCTTCACAACACCACAGAAAGAATTAATAAAACAACCTAGGATCTCATCCCAGCTCTGCCACTAAAGTAGCTGTATAAGCTTGTTCAAGTCACATTAACCAGTTTAGGACCCAACTACAAATTGAAGAATGGGGCTGGACTATAAGATCTGTTCAAGATGTAACACTCTATGGTGAAACCTTCACTACACAGAATGGGTGGCGTAAATGTCGTTTTGCTATTATTAGCAGAGCCAGCCCCGTCACAAGTTTGTTTCTGACAACTGGAAAGGGATACAAATGCTAGCCAATGCTGGATGACCACCAATGCTTTCCGTACCGACTACAGCCACAGCCAAGTTCAGGTATTAACTGCTGCTATTGCAGGTGATATTCACGCGGTACCTACTGATCTAATGGTGAGCCCATTCAACTGGACAACAAATGAAAAGCTGTTTCCTTTTTCTTTCTTTTTTTTTTTTTAAACTACACAGATGACTTCTCAGGTTCCTTCCAACTACAAATTCCAGGATGCTATTATCACCTGTATTTATTAAGCATTTCCTATAAACTTCACAACGACTCTTCAAACGCTGGGTCAAAGTTACCTCCCTTTGGAGCAGGGTGAGTGTACTACCCCCACTACCTCCTACCTGGAGCTCAAAATGATCAGCTTTAAAATGACTAGCAAAAAGAAAGCTCTAGGAGGCGGGGGCCCTTAAAAGCTTCTAAGACTTACGGATCTCCCACCGGGGACAGTGGAATCACCTGCTCAAACCAACCTTCCCAAGCCGCCCCTCCCCCCCACCCGCCCCACGGGGAGTGGAGAAACCGGGGCTGAATCCGGCCTTCTAACCAAGGGTCACCCCCGGCCCCAGCTGCTCCCTAAAGCGAGGAAGGAGGCGGGAAGGGGGGAGGGTCTGCAGCGGCAGCGAGCGAGGACTAAAGACCCAAGGGGGCGGGTGGAAGAGCCTCCATTATGAGCTCAGGCCCGACAGCCAGTGACCCCAGCCCCACTCGCCGCCCATGGCTCCCTCCCAGCTCGATGGCGGCTCCGGCCCGTGGTTCCCTCCTCCACAGGGCCCCAGCCGCCGAGGGATCCCGAGAGCGGAGCGCCGGCTCGGGGGGGCCGCGCTAACCCGGGCGCCAAGGCCCCAGCGAGGCCGCCCTCGCCCAGCCTCGCCTCAGCTGCCTTACCTTAATCCTATTGAGGACTCCGCTGTTCTCCAGCGTCTGCACCAGCAAGTCTCTCAGCTCCGTGTCCTCCTCCGCCGCCGCCGCCACCACCGCCGCCGCTGCGGCCGCCGTCGCAGCAGCCATTTTGCTTCTCCAAGACAACCGCCCAAACTGCGCTAACGGCCCAACGGCCGCCGCAGATTCGACAGGGGGCGGCGAGAGAGGGAGACGTTGGACGGACTTCGGCCCCGCCCCCGAGGTGCCGCGACGCGCCTCTCTCGCTGTCGCTCACGTCGCCCAGTGACCCGGGGTGGGGCGGGGTCCTGTGTTTCCGGAGGCAGCGGGCCTCCAAGCTGGGGGTCGGTGCGGAATGTGCGGACTGGAATTAGACCGACCCCCGTCACCCTCAGTAAGTGGAGGCGGGAGGTTTGAAGAAGGTGGCGGGAGGGGCCGGAGGAGGCGGCGAAGCGCTCCCAGCGCATCGCGCAGGCGCAAGGCAAGAGGCACTGAATAGTCCCGGGACCCGCTGGCACGAGGGAAAGAACACCTGCAGGGAGCCTCGAAGTCTGCCCAGCCCCGCTCTCTGCCGGTGCTCGCCCGCTCGTTGTATTGCGCATGCGTTATTTTGACTCGCAGGTGTTCAGTTTCAAGCTGTCTCTTCCTGTCTAACCCAAGAAGATTCTACGTTCACTTTCAAGCTTTCATTTTTCGTTTGTTTGTTTTTGTTTTTGTTTTTGCTTTAGTAATTAACAAGGTGCCTTAAATGACATACCACCTTCCTTAAGCTATTTCATAAATGAATTCTGGAAAAGTTAGACCAAAACTTTATTTTCTAGTTCATGTATTTGTAAAAGAATATTTATTATTTCACTTGTTTTTTTTTCCTTTAAAATGTTTTCTTAAAGTCTCATGATCTCTATTTTTCAGATGAGGTTTAGAAAGAATAGAAAGAATATAGTTTACTAAATCTCCCACAAAAACACAAGTTGCCCCTTAGCTACCAAAAGTTAATAGGATTTTAGGATTGTAGAGTTAGAAGGGACTTTATCAATCGTCTAGTCCAGCTTTTTCATTTTAGCCACCTTAGGATTTAGAGCTATAAAGAATCTTAGAAGTAGTTTCAAACTTTTTGGCCTCAGGACCCCTTTGCACTATTAAAAACTATTAAATCGTATTCATTATAATTATATAATTTTAATTATGTATAAATTAAGTATAATAAATGTTCTATTACATATAAAATAGATAAGCATATTTACAAATTATACTATCGATAACATACTGTATTAGATATAATTTACATAAGTTAGCTGTGTACAATAGATAACAAAGTATATCATAAAAGTTTATATAAATATTCATGATTTATAGATAACAAAATTATATAAAATGAATCATAGATAACAAAATTATGTATAAATTATGAAAGATTTCTATATAGTTATATATAATACATTTTAACATGCAATCATAAAATTATAAATTGTGTGTGTAAAATTATGCATATGTTTATGTAAAATGTGTAAATATAGTAGACACTACATAGTATACAATAAGATTACACATGTAATTATATGTAATTGTATAAAGTATAATTCTGTAAATTATAAAGAGTTTTTGTTTACCTGGATTCTCTCTTCTTGGTGGGGGAAGTAGAAGACTCCCCTTTGTGAGTTCAAATCCAGCCTCATACACATACTAGCTATGTGACCCTGGACAAGTCACTTAAACCAGTTTGCCTTAGGTTCCTCATCTGTAAAAATGAACTGAAGAAGGAAATACACACTACCTCATTATCTCTGCCAAGAAAACCCCAAATGGGGTCACCAAGAGTCAGACATGACTGAACAACAAAATCTCTATAAGTATCTATCATGGTAAAAATAAATATCTTAGTATCATTATTAAAATAGTTTTGACTTCACAGACCTTCTGAAAGGGCCTGGGGATCCCTGGATCATGATTTGGGAATCTCCAACCTACTCTAACCCTCACACCTCATTTAACAAATGAGGAAAATAAAACCGAGAGTATGACTGAACTGCCCGAGGCCAGGCACATAGTATATGGGAGAGCCAGACCTTGGACAGATCCTCAGCTTCCAAAAACAGTGTTCTTTCAATTATACCAGGCTATGGTTTAGATTTATTATATTATTATAAATTATTATTTTATGATGTAATACATAATTTATAATAGTGTTGCTTATTATAAATTATATTATAAAGTCTTCCAAAATACTGTCTTTGCATGTTAGAACTTAGCTTAGGTACCATTTTGTCCAGCACCACCCCACCCCCATTCAGCAGATAAGGAGTGATTTGCCCCTGTCTAACCATAATAGAACTGATGGGTTGTGGAGATAGAGCTTTGTCTACAGACTAATGAGAATAGAGAATAGTGATTTCAGCTATAATAATCTTAAGAACCCAGGTTGCTGTAACACCTAAACATTGTCATAAAGCTTTCCTCACCAGGACCTTGTGAAGTAGAGGGTTAAAGTGTGGTTATCCCCAACTCATAGATAAAGGAGGTGGGGTAAAGGGAGACAGGAATAAATAGTCTTCTAATTGGACCCCATTCCCCAATCTAATCTATCCACACAATGCTAAAGTGATCTCCCTAAAGCACAGGTCTTACCATGTTACCCCTCCCCCTCAATAAACTACTATGGCTCCCCATTACCTCCAGGATCAACTATAAAGCTCTTAACCTGACCCCTTTCTATCTTTCTAGGTTTCATTTTGCTTTGTTTTGGTTTGAACACATCACTTCACTCCACGGTCCAGCCATACTGCTCTACTTGCTGCTTTTCACACTTAAAGTGCTCTCTCCAATCTCCATTTCTTTGTCCTGGCTGTCCCCTGTGCCTGGAATGGCTTCCCTTCTAACCTCAACCTCTGAGAACCCCTAAAAGCTTCCTTTAATGCCACCACATCCAGGTCTTAGCCAGCCCACCTCGCCCCCTGCTCCCCGCAGGTGCTAGTGCGTTCCCCTTTAGGGCTACCTTATACCTCTCTATATGTAGAAGACTTGAGTTTATTTGTTTGTTTGTTTTAGGCAATGGGGTTAAGTGACTTGCCGAGGGTCACACAGCTAGTGTTTTATGTGTCTGAGGCCACATTTGAACTCAGGTCCTCCTGAATCCAGGGCTGGTGCTCTATCCACTGCGCCACCTAGCTGGCCCTGGAAAACTTGAGTTTAAAGTGGGCCTCAGACATTTACTAGCTGGGCGACCCTGGGCAAGTCACTTAATTTCTGTCCGCCCCAGTTTCATCTGTCAAATGGGTATAATAATGGAGCTTTAAGGGGTTGTTTTAAGAATCACTTGAGAGGCAGCTCGTCATTCCCTCCGCCTCTTCTCCACCCCCCACTATTATTATAACGTTCCGCCGGCCGGGCTCGGATGCGGGGGGAGAGGGGTGTAGAGAGCGAACGTCTCCCTCCAGCGCCGGGGGTGGGGTGAGGGTGGGGGGCTTCTCCGTCACCGCCGCCGCTCCTCGCTCCCGCAGGCGCCCAGAGACCCTTGCGTGGAGTCCGGCTGCGCCGCGTTTCCCCGGGCCTTTCGGTCCCCATTGCCCCCAGTTCCCCCACTTCCGGTCGGGCGCGCGCGCCGCGGCGTCCCAACCGTCTTCACCAAGACAACTTCCTAACCCCGTAACGGGAGGATCCGGCGAGGAGAGAACGTCAGCCAGGCCGAGACTGGGACCCGGGAAAGCCAGAGGAGCGTCTGCGAGGGCCGCAGGAGCAGGGGGCAAAGCCGAAGGCGGGTCGTGACGGAGCAGTCCGAGCCTTAGGGAGCGAAGGAGCGGAATTCGGACGCGCCCAGGCTGGACGGGAAGCCCTTCGTGACCCCGCTCAAGCGGCGGAGGATGGTGAAAAGCGCCGTCTGCGGCCGCTGTGCGGTGACCGAGGAGCGCGGGAGGAAAAAAGCGAAAACGGGTTTGAAAACATCCGGCAGCAGCGTCTCAGACTTACTCGTTGAACTCGTGAGTGCCAAGAACGCCCTGATTCCCCCGGATCGACTCTCATTTCCTCGACCGCGAAGAAGTGGAGGAGAACCTCCTACGTCTTCGATAATGGAGAGCCCCCTCTGTGTACGAATGAATTAGCGAAAGTCTGAAGGCGTCAGCTCAACTGCGGCAAAACCACTCTCAAAGTGATTGATTGCACGAAATAGGATAGGTCAGCTCAGCGATCACTGATGCCTTCTCCGAACCAGCCAGGCAAGCATCGTAGCTTAAACAAAACCCTCGGGTAGGGTTTGTATGCAGCACTTGTTTTTGCGTGTTGAGTTGAAAAAATCAAATGAGATAGTAATTTAAAGCATCTAGCACATTGTAAGCATTATATAAATCTCATTATTGTTGTTATTATTAATCTTGTATGTGCCACTTTCTATACATCTTTCCCTCCCGTTGCTTTTTCTTTGTATTCCTAGTGCTTAATACAGTGTCTGGCACATAGTAAGTGCTTAATCAATGCCTACTGATTTGTTTCTTGATAATCTGACTTATTCTTACTGTTGCCCATTGGGTTTATGTGGCAGTCTGAAGGTAGGGCGGCGGAAGAGAAGGTCAGGGACTATTCAATTGAATTCTCAGTTCTAACTCCCTATCCTTTACCCTGGCAGACTCAGAGCAGTTTTTGGTGGGTTCCAGACTGAACATCATTCCAAGGTACGGAGGTAAACTGCTTGGCCACGTACTTAGAAGATCAGTATTCATCCCAATTCTACCACTTAGGAGCTATGTGATGTTGAGCAAGTCACTCACCCTTTCTGAGTGCCAGTAATGGCAAGAGTCATGCTTGATCATCGTGGTCTTGAAAATATAAATGTGAATTCCCATTGTTATTAAGAATCCAAGGGGCAACTAGGTGGTGCAAGAGATAGAGCACTGGCCCTGGAGTCAGGGGGATCTGAGTTCAAATCCAGCTTCAGATATTTACTAGCTGTATGACCCTGGGCAAGTTACTTAACTCTGATAGCCATCCCCGCCCCACACCACCCCCCAAAAAAGAGAATCCAGATCCTAGAAACCCTCCAGTCTCATCCTGGTCTCCCCAGGATTCTCATAACCAACCTAACAAGCTCAAGCTGTTAGAGCTGGACAAGACTAGAAAGAAGAGCTACCTTTCCAGTA